GTTCATGGAAAGCTTCCAGCTTTTCAATACTTTCAAGTAATTCACTATTCTCTTTCATTGTCTTTTGATGTAACCGTATTTTCTGATCAAATTTTTCTCTTGTTTTTGCCAAGCTTTTCTTCATAAAAACAAAATCATCCTGAAATGAATTTGCTTGAACTAATTAATTGTTTGAAGTCCAAATGAAAGGTGCCTGAGTAATGATCCAATATTTATCAAGTTTATATTATTTTATCTTAGGCCCCGTTTGGCAGCATCATAAATTTAGGTGTAATATTGCCTGAGCAATTCAATAAAAAATAAATCAATGCAAAATATGTAACAAAATTGTCACTCAGGCAATGGTTTCATCAATGCTGAGAACAAATTTGATATCTTAGGCCATCTTGATCCCCATAACATTGATATTGCCCTTTACATGGGTAAAAAGCGCAATATTGGTATTATGGTGCTGAAGGTAGCCAATTATCTCAACTTTGTTTAGACTAACATTGAAATCAGTAGTTGACCTTTCCCCAGTAAAAATTTTGTTACATATTTCTGAGTAGTTCATTTTCTATTGAATTTATAAGGCAATATTACACTTGAATTTATGACCCTGCCAAACAGGGCCTTACTTATATTTGGGAAAATAATGTCTTGCTTATAAAGTGGATTGACAGTTTCTATGTATTTTCTCAATCTGCTTCTGATATCTCTGGTAATGTCACTGGAGCCCCTTGATCCCAGACTTTGGCCTCTGTGCCTACAATTCCAGATGAGGAAACTGAGTTAGTCATTTTCCCAATTATTTTACCATCCTGTGCTGTTTTGTTTTGTGGATGATATCAAAAATTTGAATCAAGATCAGTTTTCATAATATATTGAAATGCAGAAATGGCCTGATGGATTGAAGTAAATCACCAAGAGAATCCATGGATTTAATTTGTTGAAACAAACAGGATATGAAAAGCAGTCCTATGTGATAGTATACAAAGTCAAGGTTCATTCTTGGGGCTTTTCTGTCAGATATTCTGTGGAAATGTTGACTTAGGTTATTTTGTGTGATCCGGGATAATGAGTTTATGATAGGTGACATTTGATTGCTGTGGCAATGTCCAATCCAAACACACCCCCTTTTATAAGCTGAATCTTTAGTTCTTACAAGTTTTTGTTACATAATGACAGGATGTGTAAAAACACCTACTGAAACTTGTTTTTGGAAGTGTCTAAGCAGATAAATAAATAAGTACATATTCAAATCTGAAATTTTTCCAGGTTTATTATGCCTACAGGCAAAACTGAATTGTATTGTCTCAGAATTTGAATACCCAAAAAGACTGGATTTGTGTTGTCTCACTTTTCTGCAACAATACACCTTTGGAAAGTGAGACACATATTCTGTATTGTCTCAGAGGGATGATCCCACCAAAAACATCTTTGATACACATGATATCTGGCCGTATTCAAGAAAAAAAAACAAAGAAATTTTTTGCATTTGTAAATCCAAATCTGAGGCGGTGGATTTTCTCACCAACCAAGGAAATACTGATCCCAGGTATCAGGCTCAAAATAAAGACAATACAAGAAGCGGTGGGCCGCTACGCTACACTTTTGGCCCAAAAAGTGTAGTGTAGCGGCGCTTTTTTGCACCAATAATATGTAGTGTTAGCGGATTTTTAGCGGATTTTTGCCACACTGAACTGCGCTACAGTCGCTAACAGCACTACAGG